CTGGGTTGGGGAAAAAAAAAAAAAAAAAAAAAAAAGACTGTTAGGATTACAGTGGGTCCACCCAAATAATCCAAGATAATCTCCCTAACTCATCAGCCTTAACTTTTTCTTTCTGATTTTTTTGAGACAGGGTCTTGCTCTGTCACCCAGGCTGGAGTGCATTGGTGTGATAATAACTCACTGCAATCTTGACTTCCTCGGATCAAATGACTCTTCCGCCTCAGCCTCCCATGTACCAGTACCTGGGACTACTGATGTGCACTACCACACCCGGCCGTTTTTTGTTTTTTTGGTGACAGAGTCTCACTCCTTCACCCAGGCTGGAGTGTAGTGGCACAATCTCAGCTCACTGCAACCTCTGCCTCCCAGGTTCAGGCAATTCTCCCGCCCCAGCCTCCAGAGTAGCTGGGATTACAGGTGTATGCTACCCTGCCCAGCTAATTTTTATATTTTGATTAGAGATGGGGTTTCATCATGTTGGCCAGGCTGGTCTCGAACTCCTGACCTCAGGCGATCCGCCTATCTCAGCCTCCCAAAGTGCTGGGATTACAGGAGTGAGCCATTGGGCCTGGCTTGCCTTTTAAATTTTGTCCTAACTTCTTGAGCAGAAAAGCGGCGCCTTGGCTGGGCATGCTGGCTCATGTCTGCTATCTCAGCGCTTTGGGAGGTTGAGGAGGGTGGGTCATAAGGTCAGGAGTTAGAGACCAGCCTAACATGGTGAAACCGCGTCTCTGCTAAAAAATACGAAAGTTAAACAGATGTGGTGGTGGGTGCCTGTAATCCCAGCTACTCAGGAGGCTGAGGGAGGAGAATCACTTGAACCCAAAAGGCAGAGGCTGCAGTAAGCTGAGATCACGCCACTGCACTCCAACCTAGTGACAAAGGAAGACTCCGTCTCAAGAAAAAAAAAGAAAAAGAAAAGAAAAAGAAAGAAAGAAAGACAAAGAAGAAGAATGGGAGAAAATAGGAGACAGATACCAGAAAGATGGGGTCAGAGATCAGAGACGGGGAAGGTCAAAGACCATGAAACAAATGGAAACAGACCCAGACAGGGGGAAGAGACACCTGGGGGACGGGGGGACACAGAAATCCAGGGGACCGGAAAGAGTAGGTGTGGTGGGGTGGTTTACGCCTGTAATCCCAGCACTTCGAGAAGTCTAGTATGGTGGATTGGCTGAGCTCAGGAGCAGGAGACCAGCCTGGGCAACACAGCAAGATCCCACCTATAGAAAAATGACCAAAAATAGCCATGCATGGTGGCTCACACCTATAGTCTCAGCTACTTAGAAGGCTGAGGTGGGAGGATCATTTGAGCCCAGAAAGTGGAGGCTGCAGTGAACCGAGATTGTGCCACTGCACTCCAGCCTGGGCAACAGACTGGGGTGGGGGAGAGGAAGGAAGGAAGGAAGGAAGGAAGGAAGGAAGGAAGGAAGGAAGGAAGGAAGGAAGGAAGGAAGGAAGGAAGGAAGGAAGG